AATTTAGAAAATAATGCAGAGAGTTTCAAATGAAGTATAAAACTCATTTTATATTTCAATTATTTGTATTTTTGTTTACAAATAAATTACAACCACACTAAAAAAAACTGAACAAACTGGAAACATAATAGAAGGAAAAATGTTTTCTTATTATACTATTCAATGAAATAATTATAATTGGACAAATTTCTTTCCATAATAGTCTTTTAAGCATATATATCAAGGAATATCTATATTTATTCCTATCTATTCATATATGTGATACATATTTGATGCAACAAATTAATCTAATTAAAAAAATTTAAACATTAGCTTTATCTAAATTTGATATTTAAATATTTCACCAATATTTAATAGGCCTAGATTTATCAATTTAATTTAAATTTGTAAATTATGCTTTGTAAATTAAGCTTCTAATATTTGAATAAATAGGTTAAATATGTACACTATGAAACTCACAAAATCCTATGAACAGATACATCATTTAACAAGTTACTTTTCAAGAAAAATTAATATGTTCATTATTTTTGCATTATTATCAATACCATATTGTTAATTTCTGCACAAAAACACTTTCATTTGCCTCAATATCCATTTTTAATTAATTATTTAGTATTAGGCTTTTCAAGTAAAATATATGCTTATTTTCTATTTTGATGTCTCTCTTCAAATTACTGTACAAAACGGTAGTGAATTTCCTTTAGCAATTAGATTCATTAGCATGCCAATTCAGTAGACAAGACCCTTTTAATTTGAATATGTTTTCTCATTAGGTGAATATTGTATCTCACATGCATATTTATTACTTGAATTTAATGCATTTAATTTTTAAGGAAAGTAAAATTTTTAATTCCTTAAAATTAACTCGTATCTATTACTTTCTCCTAGATTTTATTTATCTGTTCTTAAAAAGTGGTAGGAATCCAATTTTTAAACCATTATTTATTGACTGTTTATAAGACTTAAAACTCTGGAATAAATCTTTTTTGGGTTCTTGTTTGTCTTCTATCAGTTCTAACATATTAGCTTCACAATTTAACAATTTGTCTGAATATTCTATGACTTAGTTTCTTCATTTTGTATAATTGATATGTTAATAGTTACAATCTGTTAGTTTTCTTGTGAGGATAGATTATAAGTAAACCAGGCCCGGGGATATAGCTCAGTGGTGCCACCACATGCCTCGCAAGTGCAAGGTCCCAAGTTAGATCCCTGGTACCAAAAAAAAAGGGGGGGGGGGAATCATTTAGCTTGCTTTTTAATGAGTGATTGTTAAAATAACAAATATAATATATTGATATAACAATGGTAATATAAATAGTTTTGTCCACAATATCTATTTAATATCTATTTTATATCTAAGAGTACACACATGAATAGTTTCAAAGAAGCATCTAAAAGAAGGGTCTAGCCAGAAACATTAAACTTGCTGGAAGATGTTAGGTAGAACTCTTAATGACACTGGCATAGGAGAAGACTTTATGAATAAATCTTCAGTAGCAAGGGAGCTAGCACAAATAATCAACAACTGGGATCTCATTGTATTAAAAAGCACTGCAAGAGAAACTACCAACAGAGCTAAGAGACAACCTACAATGTGGGAAGAAATTTTTAGCAGCTGTACCTCAGACAAAGGTCTACTATCGAGAATATATAAAGAACTGAAAAAAATCAGACCCCTCAAATTCAAAGACCCAATTCAAAAATGTGCATCCGAAATGAACAGACATTTCCCAGACAAAGAAGTAAAAACAGCAAATAAATATATGAAAAAATGTTCAACATCACTTGTCATCGGAGAGATGCAGATGAAAACAACACTGAGATTCCACCTAACCCCACAAAGAATGGCTGCTATCAAGAAATCAACCAATAACAAATGCTGGAGGGGATGTGGAGAGAAAGGAACCCTTTTACACTGTTGGTGGGAATGTAGATTGGTGCAACCACTGTGGAAATCAGTATGGAGATAACCTCAAAGAACTAGGACTACAGGTCCCATTTGACCCAGGTATTCCGCTACTGGAAATCTTCCCCAAAGAACTAAAAGAATCATACCACAGCGATATATGTGCACCTATGTTTATAGCACCACAGTTTGTAATAGCTAAAGCTTGGAAACAGCCCAAGTGCCCATCGACTGGAAACTGGATAAAGAAGATGTGTTTTTTTTATAAAATGGAGTACTACTCAGCCATAAAGAATGAGAAAGTAGAGACATTTATAGTTAAATGGATGCATATTGAGGCCATACTCTTAAGTGAAATAAATAGGACACACGTGTAAATAGCGAATAGTTTCTCTAGTGTGAGAAATTGAAAGTGTAAATAAAGAAGAAAATGATTAAAATGAATAATTGATAATTTGAAATAGGAAAAGGTCCAAGGTTTAGGGGATGGTGGGAGGGCAAGAGGAAAGGGAAGAAGGGAAAGGAAAAATTATGAGAAAGAAAAAAAAAATGGAATCAAAGTCTGCATAAATAGGGAAGGGTGGAGGGCGTGAAGGGTGCACAGGTAATGGGAGAAAAAATAAGAACTAAGATGCACCATGTTCTGGTACAAACACAAAATGATAAATGTAAATGTATTTTATACCAAAAATGTACATATATATATATATATATAAAAGAAGGGTCTAGAAAGTAAAAAAGCCTATATCCACCTTTTTTCTTACCCTTGATTGTACATATAACTGAACTTGTATAAATGTCTTATTTTGCCAACAAAATTGGTCTACACATCGAGATTGAGAAAATGTTTTCTTGACCTAAAACTTTCTAATTTTCTCATTTAGTTTTCTGACTCGAGTTATTTAAATTAAAAACCAGCTCATTTATTTATTAGCTGTGAGTTTACTTCATTAAACTTTAGTTTTGTTATCCATAAAAATAGAGATTAATTACATAAAACTTAAAAAGCAAAGCAAAAATTAGATTTTCATTAGTGTTCCTAAAACATAGCATTTATTTTCTTCTTTATTTCCAAATAGAGACTAATAACACATGCACAAAAACAACACCAATAGAGTCAACATTTTGTAACTTTTAAAATATATTTTCTAAATATGTTGCCTATGAACTGTCTCAGGAAAATGTTTGAGTGTGTGTGAGAAAAACAATAGATGCCAAAATATACATGTTTTAAAGTGTTAAATACATTTCTAAAATTTATTTTAAAAAGAATCATAGACATACCTGCAATTTTTCTTTCCTGTTACAGTGGCATTTAAAAAGAACATTCAGTTAAAAAATGTACTAAACTTTTTCTGTTACAAGATAACATGACTTTTCTTAATTGTTATTGGAAGAAAGAGCAAAGTGTCTATTTTAATGTTTAATTATGACAATATACAGGGATGTAACTTTATCAGTGTTGACATTTGCACAACTCTGCATATTTAAAAATGATCATACACTACTGTAGTGAGTATGATTGATGTAGTCACAATATTATAGATATAATAATAACATTAATCTTGACATCACTATCCCAGGTTAGATAAAATAATAAAATGGCCATTTAAATTTAGTTACTCACAGCATTGATTTTCACACCTAAATATGGTAGAATACTTTAATTTTAGGTCCAGATATGACAGGACATTTTCTCTCTTTTTTTCTTTTCTTTTTTTTTTTTTTTTTGACATTTTCATTTTATCTGATTTAAAGAGTCTGAAATTGTTCTGTGTGGGTGTTTAAAAGCTAAAAATATTTTAAAAATTAAATTTCTCCCTGCATTTTATCAACTAGATTTTTTTAAACCAGAAGGAAATACTAGCAAAAATTGTTTCTAATGGCAAATTCTCTATTCTTTCCCCTTGACTTCTGTGTCCATTCTGAATTATAGAAAAGGCATTTATTGTCCACCTAGAAGTGAATGTATACATGAATGAGAGCATTCTTCTCAATTTTAGTTTGACTATTGTTTAAAACTTTTGTCTTATTACTAGAGATGATTGACATTGTAAATAATGTTGAATATTCCAGGAATTTTTTTAAATGTTCACTTACTCTTTTTCAAAATGTATTTATTTAAGAAATTTAAAGACATCAATCTAAACAACTCAAGCTTTATTATGTGTTTTAAAATTCAACATATTTTTAAATAAAGAAGCCCTCTTCTGAGCACTTGTTATAGATGAAGCTAGGAATTTAAGTCTAGACAAAATAGAATTTGTTCCTTTATAGAGCACCATCGGCTTACCTTCTCTTCCTGAAGCAGATAATAACTCTTAGAATCCCTGGATAAAGGAAAATTTTATGTTTGTTTTTGTTGCTAATATGATCCAGAGGTATATGGTTTTGTTTCTTTTTTTTTTTTTTTTTTTGCTTAAAATCTTTTATTGGCATAGTTTAGTTATACAATACATTTGCATTCATCATTGGGTGTACCTGCACATGACGTATCTTAGTTCTTATTTTTTCCCCATTCCCTGTGTTCCCTTCCCTATTTACAAAGACTTTGTTTCCATTTTTTCCTTTTCTTATATTTTTTCCTTTCCCATATTTCCTTTCCCCTCCCCCTCCCACTTCCCCTACCCCTTTGGACCTTTCCTTCCTATTTCTTTCTTTCTTTTTTTTCTGGAGCAACTATTATTCTTTTATTCTTTAACAGACATTTTCAACATTATGGGCAATATTCTTAAAACCTTAAATTTGACAGACTTTTAGACATTTAAGTACTGTGGTCCCTTTTTCTTTGATGTGGTTTATTTAGTTAGAAAAAAAAGCATGATAGACAATTTAATACATTTTCACCAAATTCAAAGTAGTACAAAAATTTTTAAGACTCTACAGAGCTATACATCGTACCTAATGTATCATTAAAAATAGAAGACAGTATTTTCTTTAGCAAATAAAACAGCATACTGGTATGCTGTTAATGCATACTTTTTAACTTGTACTGTCATTAAGTATTTACAATTACTTTTGTGAAGAGAACTAGAATGTAAATTTCCTGCAAAACTAGAAAAAAGCAATTCAAAATTTATGAAAGTCTGTTTCATACAAAAAGTAAGCCAGTTTTTCTCTTCAAATACTAGATATTGTATGTAATGATTATTCTGGACATATTATAGTAATTCTTGAGGATGCTTTAATGCTGGAAGTAAGTTTACAGGTCTTGCTTCTTCATCAAGGAGTACCAGATCTTCTATCTCACTGTCTCTATATTTTCTTTTACATATTTTTACCACCGCTTTTTTCTTTAGAAACAACTTCAGTGCTTCTCTTGATGCAACTGCTTTTGCATTTTCTTTGCTTTTGCCACAGCCAGTGCCCAAATACACAGACTTGCACCTCAGTTCACAAACAATACTTTCTTGAGAGCTTTTATTTTGAGGCAGATCTGCCAGTTCTTTTAGTGGGACAAAGAACACATCCAGGATGGCTTTTAGAGCCTCAATAGCTCCATTTAAGAGCTCTCCATGATTCAAATTGGGACTAAAGCCACCAACAGCTACCAATTTCCATGCCACTGTTTTATATAGTCTATTGAAGAAAGGTTGTTCCTGTTTTACATCTTCATTGGTTAACTTGCAACAAGAAAATTGGACTGAGATCTCACTTGACTGTGAAGTACTTTTAGAAGGCAACTGTGAGGTGCTATTCTGTGAGCTAATCGTAGATGCAAGCTGGGACACACTTGCTAAAGAAGTACTTTTGGAAACCAGAGATCCACTGGCCTGGGAGCTGCTCTTGGAAGAAAACAATGATGCAACTACCTGGGAAGTGCTTTTGGAAGTTAGAAGTGATGTATTTGTTGAGCTGGTCTTGGAAGTTAGTAATGATGTGCCTGATGAGGAACTGTTTTTAGATACTGATGATGAAACACCTGCCTCTGAACTAGTTTTGGAAGTTAGCCCACTTGAAACTGTCTCTGAACTAGGTTTAGAATATAATAATGACAATTCTACCTCTGAGTATCCAGAGGTGCCCAACAAGGGCACCTCAATCTCTGAGCTGCTCTGAGAAGCTGAGACTGATGAGCTTTCCAAAGCACTCTTTTTTGGTGATCCACTTTGTTGTCTGCAATCAGTGGGTTGCATCATGTGATTATTCACACTACATTTCAAAAATGAAGAAACAAATGTTGCTGAAAAAAAATTATGGAACGCTTCACTAATTTGCATGTCATCCTTGCACAGGGGCCATGCTAATCTTCTCTTTATGGTTCCAATTTTAGTGTATGTGCTGCTGAAGCGAGCACTTTTTCTTCCTATTTCAAACTATCAATTATTTATTTTAACCATTTTAATCCTTATTTACACTTCCAGTTTCTCACACTAGAGAAAGTATTCAGTATTTACACATGTGTGTCCTATTTATTTCACTTAAGAGTATGGCCTCAATATGCATCCATTTAGCCACAAATGTCTCTAATTTCTCATTCTTTATGGCTGAGTAGTTCTCCATTTTATAAAAAAAACACATCTTCTTTATCCAGTTTCCAGTCGATGGGCACTTGGGCTGTTTCCAAGCTTTAGCTATTACAAACTGTGCCACTATAAACATAGGTGCACATATATCGCTGTGGTATGATTCTTTTAATTCTTTGGGGAAGATTCTCAGTAGGGGAATAGCTGGGTCAAATGGGATCTGTAGACCTAGTTCTTTGATGTATCTCCATACTGATTTCCACAGCGGTTGCACCAGTCTGCACTCCCACCAACAATGGAGAAGTGTTCCTTTCTCCCCACACTCCCAAAAGCATTGTACCTCAGACAAAGGATTACTATCTAGAATATATAAAGAACTGAAAATAATCAGACCCCCCAAATTTAAAGACCCAATTCAAAAATGGGCATCTGAAATGAACAGACATTTCTTAGACAAAGAAGTAAAAGCAGCAAATAAACATATGAAAAATTGTTCAACATCACTGGTCATTCAAGAGATGCAAATGAAAACAACACTGAGATTCCACCTCACACCAGAAAGAATGGCTGCTTTCAAGAATTCTTTTTTTTAATTGAGAAAGATTTACAACACAGAAGTTTTCTATATGAAAAATAGAATGACATAATAAACTATTATAGAATTTGGGCAAAATCACTAATGAAGAATTATCTTGACCATCAAGTATGGTATCTGTTATGGCTATACAGTCATAGGTGGGGCTTTTGGGAGGTGGCTGAACCTAGAGTGTATGATGCTGGGGTTAAGGGTGAGTGATTACTAAATCAGTCACTGATAGATTTGGCATAATTCTGGGTAGTATTAAGATGCCCTACCCTGGATTGATAAAATATGAGGAACAGAAAGAGGGGTAGTGTGGTTGCTTGTTTTTACTGTTTCCTGCTTCCCATGAACTGTTTCTCCTCTGTGATGCCTCTCTGCCATGCCACTCTGCCTTGGAGTCAGCTGTATGGACTGAAACCTCCATAAACTGTGTACCAAAATAAAGCTTTCCTCTTTTAACTTTGGGTGTGCAGTGTTTTGTCTCAGCAATGAGAGAAAAGTCACTAAAGACAGTATTTCAGCATATTCTAGAGAATGGCAGGTGGATAAGTATGAAAGAAAATTATTTTGCAACTAGAGTTTAAACTTTATATCCTAATTTTCTCAAAAGTTACCCACAACGAAAATCTAGGAATGATAAAGATAAGGCAGGATTCAGACCTATAGAAAAGCAGCAGCATTTGGGAATATGTCTGGGAATATTGTAAAACATAGATGAGCAATGATGATGACAGATGGCCACCAGAGAATGGAATGTGGCCAACATAGGATTAAAAATAGTAAATTAAGCGGTGGGAATTTAGCTCAGGGGCACAGCGCCTGCCTGGCAAGCACAAGTTCCTGAGTTCAATCCCTAGTACCAGAAAAAAAAGAGAAAAAATAGGGGAAACAGCTTTCATTTGTGCTTCAAGTTTTGTATATTTGGGGATATATTAAATAAATAAATTTTATTTTTAGAAAAAGTATTGCTTACACCTAGAAATTATATTATTTTCTGAGAATTAGAGATGATTGCAAAGACAAGAGATTATTTATAATACATGATAAATTAGTAGAGAAAAGAGGCATGAGGAAATAATAATGTAACATTTGGAAATACTAGGGTATTGTGCTTTTAAAGTTGGGATTACAGTTTCTCAGCAACATATTTCTAAGAAATGTGAAGTTCCAGAATCGAACCACAGGGATTATATCTGGTTTTGAACGTAAAAGATCTGTAAACAAATTTGGAGTTAAGGAAGACAAAGAGCTTTGAGGATGGGGTTTTAAAAGTGTCATATACTGAGTTGATCTGAAGTAGAATACTGATAACTGTGATAAAGCTAGAGGAGAAATGATAGCATGAATGAGTGAAAATAGAGAGATAAATAAATAATTTATATTTCAACATCGAAAATGAGATGGGTAGATTGAATAGATACTAAACTTGATGGGGTCCAAGACATAATATATAAACTTGGGGTGCCTCAGGAAAACCAGAATGTAGGGTCACACTGAGGAATAAGGAAATGGCATGAACCTCAATGGGAATGATTTTCTTTTCATGACATGGAAAAATGGTAGAAAGATGAGAATAAGGAAAAAACTTTAAGCTTCATTCTACCTAATGGTAAAAATAGACAGGGAAAAACAATAATGAATATGAGCATGAAAGAGAAGCTGTAATAGTGTAAGGCAAGTTTTGGTAAGTTAAAGTGTCGACATACATATTATGTGAAAGAAATAAAGTTATAGGAATATTTGCAATTGGGGTGCCCTCCTGCGTGGCCTTTGCCTCCCCTATCATGAAGATCTCATACCTCACAAACTACTGTAATTAATTTTTTACTCAACTAGATTTAAGCATAAGTTCAAGAATTTTTCTGTAATATCAAATTTCCAAATATGAGTTCAGTGTGTAGGTTGTATTATTCAACTGAAATTAATGTTTTAAATGAACATGTAACTAAAAAACGAATCAGGGCATGATGTGAAGTGGAATGATAAGCAATGAAAAATAAAGTATATGTTAACAAGGATAAAAATAACAAATGAACTAGTGAAATGATAGGTGCCTGGTGTGGCCTACAATTTAGGGTTTAAATATCTTACTCCCCAACTTTGTTATATAGGGATATGTGGTGCCAGAAGTGAAAGAAAAATTATACTAATATTTTCCGTACGATTTAAATTACTTTTTTGTGTTTTTAAAGGTCTGTCCTTTTGTTTCATTTTTAGGTACAGACTGTTGTAAACAAAGTCTTCACAGGAGTAATTTGTACATTCATATATTAACAAAAAGAGATTTCTAGCTTTTTCCAAACTTGAAACTAGCAATCCCAAAATAATTTCTATGAAGTTTGGGAATTCCTTATAATTTTGGAGAAGTGAAAACTATAAGGATACAGAATTTGTATATTTCCAATTCATTTGTATTTTACTGAGATGGTTTTCAAATAACAATGTGTTTCCAAGGGCTATGGTGAAAATCCCCAGAGGAAGAGAGAGGGGAAAAGCAGAACTGAACACACACACACACACACACACACACACACACACACAAAACAGATATCTATGTAACAATCCAGTCATTAACTCAGGACATGTTCTAATTGTTTTTAGGTTTGAAGTTCAGGAAAAGTCAAGGTACATGAATTTTCTAAATCCATACCAAAAAACCAGCAAGTTTGGAGCTAGTTCTCTGAGGTTTCACTTTCTAAGCAACAGCCAGCAGACATTGGTTACTGCTCAATCTTCTACTTTGTGTAAGAGGATAATACAAAATCTGTCAAAAGAAATTTACTAGGAAACTACATTTCCATGGCTTAAGTTTTTTTTTTCCTGTACACATTCATTAATTGGTTCATTCATTTATATATTCCTTCATTTATTATAGCAGTTACTATTTGAAAAAATAAACATTTCTGAACTAGGTGATTCCAAACTTGCAGGGAGAAAACAGAAAAATAATTTCAAATAGGAACAAGTGAAATGAAAAAGATAAAGTAAGGAACATTTTTAAAGAGATCTGACAGTGGAAAGAATGCCTTTTACTTGTGCACTGGAGTGTGCAATAAAGATTGGCAGAGCAAGTGCAAATTTTTAAATATACTTTAGAAAAATATATGATTCCTAGAACTCTCTAGGACTCAGCATTTTCTATGAGTGGTATTTATGTATATTTTAATAACCTGTTAAAGTCATAAATACTTTTTATGGCTTTAATTACAGAGTAAATTTCCTAATGTTAAAAATTCTAAGTGAAAATTAAAAAAAAATCCTCACAATACCATGATACTAGTCTAACAATACACAAAATGGCTATAAATGAGTTCTGGGGAAAGGATATTGCCTGATTACTTTCTTTCCTGAGGCAACTAGACAGAGAGAGTGAATTAATTAAACTGGGTTTTAATCTCAGATTTAGCTCCAGCTAGATGAATGTGAAGTAACTATTCTGATTCTTAGGTAATTTAAGACAAGAAGATGGTGTGAGAACCCTCACTACTGAATCTTATGTTAGAAATGACTTAAATGAGTAGGCAGATGATGATGCCCTGCCTCTGCTTAGGGAGGGAATGACTTTAACCATCTGTGTGATGTCACAGGAATACTGTCATTTCCATTCAACAGGAAAAAGTGGCCAAATTAATTCTCTCTGCCCCTTCAACTGATTAGACTGCAGAGAGAAAAATAATGCTCTTTTTCAGAAAGAACATAAAAGTTTCTAAATGATAAAGCCTATTTATTTTGATACAAAGTCTCACTATATAGTTCAGACTTGAACTCATAGCAATCTTCCTGCCTCGGCTTCTCAAATGCTGGGATTACAGATGTGTACCACCACATCTGTCTGACAGAGCTTTTAATATGTTCCCAGTGTTACATTTTCTGAAATTTTATTCTGTTCTATTTATAGATTTTACCAAAACCTTCTCCAGCCATAGGAAAAGAAATATTAGTTAATATCTTTGGAGCTGTTTCTCAAGCTCTATTTCATTTAGGTTTAAATATCCTTATAATATAAAATCCATTTTATTATTTTAGTATACAACTTAAACCTTACATATAATATTGTATAGCCAGTAAAACCTTATAGGATTCCATAGAAATGTGGATTTACGGGGTATTTGTGGATCACTTAAGATTAAAAACAGAGTTGGTAGGAAGACACAGCTGATCTTCTCAGATG